GTCCGGTCCGGTTCGTCGCCTGAACCGGGGTGGTGTGAATCACGTCGGTTCAATGATCATCTTCTTCTTAATGTGGCGTTTGGAATCTCTTAATGTTGGTTTACCGATCCGAATGATAACACTATCCATCAATAAAAACATTTAATGATGTTATCATTATCTTTTAAATAATAAATAATATTAATTTTTTAAAAAAATATTAGTGTTATATAATTAAATAAAGGTTAAAAAATATTATTCGACAAATATTAATTATAATGGATATCAGTAAAATCATTGCATAAATTATTTAAAAAAAAATATTTAATATCATATTTGGATAGTAAATGTAAATATGCAAGTATTTAATGCATATAATAAAAAATTTCCAAATAAAGTATGCATTAAATGTGTGTTGACTTTTCTTGCTACTGTTTTTGGTAAATAGGTTGGCTTTTAATATAGATATAGATTGCATTTAATGTGGAGTTTGCTAAGTGGAGTTTGTTATTTATTTTTGCGCAAGATTAGGCTGTTCCTTTTTCATTTTCACAAATTAAAAAAATAAAATTTTCTTTGACATATAATCGTGTACCACATTGAAAATTTTATTTTAATAAAACATAAATAATTTACGCCTAATTTAATAATATAAACTTACTTTAGTATTTATAAATATCAAAAACTCTTTTAACATCTACTCGGCTACTACAATTGTTTTAATCGGATGATTTTATTTTTTTAATAAAATAAATTACAATTCATTTATTTGGTGGATTTGGTAAATTACCGTTCATTTAAACCTCTAAAAGATAAATTGGTGGATTTGGTTCCATTAAATTCTAAAAATTTTGATTATTGAATATAATTTTAAATTCAAAATCCTTTCTCATAATTGATTTAAAAAATTCAATTGTGTTTTTATTCCAAACAATCAGATTGCCAAAAAAATTACCTTAAACCTTTATAATTTCATTGTTTTTAGGTTTCAATTTGCACGAAATTAAAAATTGTTTAAGAATTTCAAATTAATCGAAATTCATCTCTTTAATTTTTTTTCCATAAGTTTCAAAATTTTGCAATAATGAATTCGAATTACAAATGTATTGTTTTAAAAATCAAGAGGATAATTTTGAAAATAGAC